TGCGTTTGGTGTGCCCTGCTGCTTTGTGCCTTGGGCATGATCTGTGGGACGCGGGACCTCCAGCACAGCCAGGCCTTGCCTTCGTACGTACCAGGGTTGACTTTCCCCTGCCTTCTGGCTTGGCTGGGGCACCGGTCGGTCCCTACATTACTCCTTACCAGGCCAGTTGTCCATACAGCTGTCGTTCCTAGCGCAGGTTCCGTTCACCAAGTCCCCACACGGGAGGAGGAAGGCTGGCCAGGTGGAAAGCTGGGTCTGCGCCAGCAAGGAGGTCTCTCTGCCCACAAAAGCAGCTGGGGGGCTAGTCAGGCAGCCAGGCTCGCGCGCAGCGGTAAGCTTCTCACGCTTGTGGGTAGCTCCCCCCAGGGACTGCAGGCCCCAGTTTCTTTGCCCTTCCCACAGAAGCCTCGGCGGAGGGCCCGTGGGCAGAACAGCACGAGCCCTCCCACTGGTAGGAAGGTCACGGGCAACCAGGAAGCAAAGCAGGGTAGGCGTGAGGGACGCGTGTGGGCGAGCAGGCAGCCTTGTAGCGCGATGGTTCTTAAGCAAAAGAGCCTCACGGGGATTCGTAGCCGCCCTGAGAGATCTCCCATTGGGCGCTCTGGCAGGCATTTCGTGGCGCGCCATAACCGGCTGGGGCCCAAAACTGGACCTCCGCTGCACTGTGTAAGCTGCCTTCTTCAAACCAATTTAGTTGAGGCCACAGGATGGTGAGTTTCTGGTCCTTCCTGATCCGACGCAATTAGGACCAGCTCTGCTTGCTTCCCTTGTCCTGGCTTTGTTTCCAAGAGCTGGGGCAATGGGGTATATATAGGCCCAGGCGGGCTGCTGGTCTGTCGCCTGTGGGCCCCCCAAGTGCGCATGGTCGGCCAAGACAAGAGAGCCACTGCTCACCCTGTTCACAGCACCGTACGCTGCAGTTAGTTTGGACAGGTTTCCTTAGCAAGATAAATGGGAATCAATCCCAAGCCCCTTCACTGGAAAAAGCAGAAATTCTAAAGAGGCTGGTAACTGGGGACCCAGTGTAAGACCCAGGGACCTGCCTGCACTCACAGTCCAGGCTGGGCAGGGCAGCTCCTTAGCCAAACACTGAAACCTCACTCCTGGGAACCAATATTCTCCTAGCCCTCTGTCCTGCTTTTCCTCCCCTGAAGCTTTTCCGGTTTACCCCAGGTCCTGAGAGTGCCTCCTCTCCCCAGTCTGCATCCTTCCCCCGGGGTACGCGGCAGGGCCGGCCCTGGCTGCACTCCCAGGGTGTCTGACAGCTGGGATGGGCCCCAGACAAATGTGCTGCGCCAGGCCCCGTCAAATCCTGGGCCACAGGCTTGGGACACCGCA